TGCTAAAGTCAATGCTTTACAGGTCATCTTCTCAGTAAATATTGAATGATGTAGAAAATGCCCACAATGTTAAAGAAAAAAAGCAGGACTTCGGCTGGGTGCAGTGGCTCACACCTGTAATCTCAGCACTTTGGGAGGCCGAGGTGGGCAGATCACGAGATCAAGAGATGGAGACCATCCTGGTTAACACGGTGAAACCCCATCTCTACTAAAAATACAAAAATTAGCCACGCATGGTGGCGGGCACCTGTAGTCCCAGCTACTGGGGAGGCTGAGGAAGGACAATGGCGTGAACCCGGGAGGTGGATGGAGCTGGTAGTGAGCGGAGATTGCGCCACTGCACTCCGGCCTGGGCGGCAGAGTGAGGTTCTTGTCAAAAAAAAAAAAAAAAAAAAAAAAAAGCAGGACTTCAAAGTCTATAGACAGGAAAATTAGAAACAAAACAAAACAACAACAAAAAAATTTTTAATCTGTATATAATTTAAGAATAAATAGAAAAACTGAAAAGTCCTGTAACCATTTTTAAAAATTAAGTTAGTAGTTCAAAATTGACACATGAATAACCCCCATGTCCAAATGGTTTTAGAGACAAATCCTACCAAATTGTATTAATCCAATCTTATGTAAACTCTTCAGAGAGTAGAAAAAGAGGAAACATACCCCAACTTATTTCCTGAAGCTAGTATCATCCTGAAACCAAACTAAATGAAGGGAGTGCAAGTCAAATCCAGCAATATCTTTTTAAATAATAATAATGACCAAAGCATCTTTGATGCAGATAATGTAAGAATCATTTAACATTAAAAAAAATCTCTTAATGTAACTCCTAAATTAACATATTAAGAGGCAGGGTGCAGTGGTTCACACCTGTAATCCCAGCACTTTGGGAGGCCAAGGCGGGCAGATCACCTGAGGTCAGGAGTTTGAGACCAGCCTGACCAATATGGTGAAGCCCCATCTCTACTAAAAATGCAAAAATTAGCCAGGCGGGCACCTGGAGTCCCAGCTACTCGGGAGGTTGAGGCAGGAGAATGGCACGAACCTGGAGCCGGAGCTTTCAGTGAGCCAAGATCGTGCAGGCACTCCAGCCTGGGCGACAGAGCAAGACTCTGTCTCAAAAAAAAAAAAAAAAAAAAAAAAAAAAAATTAAGAAAAAAATTATCACCTCAATGGATGTAGAGAAAACATTTCATAAAATTCAATTCTGATCTATGAAATTTAAAAAATATTAGCAATCTGGGACAAAAATGTCCTGACCTTGATTAAAGGGTGTGTACCCACATCACACAGTGAACATCATACTTAATGGCTAAATGATAGAAGCAGTCCCTTACCAAACTTAGAAGTGACAAGGATTCTCACCATCATTACTTCTATCCAACACAGTACTAGAGACCCTAGCTAGAAGAGTATGACAAGAAAATCAATAAGAGAAATTAGGATTGAAAAGAAAGAGACAAAATATTATCTGCAATTATGACAAAAGAGTCATAACTGAAGATATGATAATCTACATGGAATATTCAAGAAGATCTACAAAGCATTAGACTTAATAAAACAGTTCAGTTTGTTATATATCTCATTAATAGTAAAAACCCATATAGGTCAACAGCAATCAATCAATTAGAAAATGTAAGTTTTGGCCGGGCGCGGTGGCTCAAGCCTGTAATCCCAGCACTTTGGGAGGCCGAGACGGGCGGATCACGAGGTCAGGAGATCGAGACCATCCTGGCTAACACGGCGAAACCCTGTCTCTACTAAAAACACAAAAAATTAGCCGGGCGAGGTGGCGGCGCCTGTAGTCCCAGCTACTCGGGAGGCTGAGGCAGGAGAATGGCAGGAACCCGGGAGGCGGAGCTTGCAGTGAGCTGAGATCTGGCCACTGCACTCCAGCCTGGGCGACAGAGACTCCGTCTCAAAAAAAAAAAAAAAAATGTAAGTTTTAAAAAGAATAATCCATTCATAGTAACAAATAATAGCCCTAAAGTACCTAAGAAGAATTCCAACAAAATATGTTAATGCCTTTATGGAGAATATAAACATTTACCAAAAGGCAATAAAGAAAACACAAATGAATGAAGAACTATATAATATGTTCATATATGGGAAGACCAATTTTTTTTTTTTTTTGAGACAAGGTCTCACTCCTGTTGCCCAGGCTGCAGTACAGAGGTGCAATCTTGGCTCATTGCAGCCTCAAATTCCTGGGCTCAGGTGATTCCCCCACCTCAGCCTTCCTAGTAGCTGGGACTACAGATGTGCGACACCACACCCAGCTAGAAGAGATGGGTTTTTACCACATTGCCCAGACGGGTCTCAAACTCTTGGGCTCAAGTGATCTGCCTGCCTTGGCCTCCCAAAGTGCTGGGATTACAGGCATCAGCCACCAGGCCAAGCCAAGACCAGATATTTTTAAAGATGTAAATTATCCTTACATTAATCTAAAAATCCCAAGCAATTCTGACAGAAAATATACATTAATCCTAATATATACATATTAATCATATATATGTATATATAAACCATATATACATATATATATTTGGCAGAACTTGACAAGCTAGTCATAAGAGCCGAGAATAAATAAGACAAGGCAGGGGACAATTTATGCTATTAAATATTAAAATTTATAAAGTGAGTTAAATGGTGTAGAATTCAGTCCAGAGATAGACAACACAAACAGGAGAACTTGGTATGCCAGAGGAAGCATCACAAATCAGTGAGGACATGACAGACCATTCAACAAACAGTGCAGAAACTACTGGCTACTTTTAGCCAAAAATGAAAAATGAGATTCATATATTTTACCAGTCACAAAAATAACCTCCAATTAGGTTACAGTCTTAAATACAAAAAGGAATGTGTTAAAATTATTAGAGAAAGATATAAGGAGCTACCTTTATGAATGGGATAGGCATTTTTTTGGTATGATATTAAAATTATAAAGCATTGAAGAAAAACAGATATTACTGTTGGATGCGCAAAAGACAATATAAACACAGATTAGGAGAAGATATTTGAAATTAACATAACTGTGCAGAGAAAAGTTAAAATTAGAAAGTTAGAAGACCTACCTGCAAGGTTGACTCTTGGCTGGCACCTGAGAACTTAAAATTTCAGGAGGGTTCCCACCATTCCCAGAACTGATAAGAGGGACTCACTGTGCCTAAACTATTTGTACAAATAGTGTGGTTTATGCTCGACACCTGCTTTCCTTCTGAGAATCTGGAATTTGGGTACAGGCAAGGCAGAGGCTGCCTACATGACCAGCTCCCAACAAAAACCTCGGTCCCTAAGTCTCTAATGAGCTTTCCTGGCAGACAACACTTCACACCTGTTGTCATAACATGATGCTGGGGAAACGAAGTGTGCCCTGTGTGACTGGAGAAGGCTCTTGGAAGCTTGCACAGGGTTTCCTCTGGACCCCACCCTCTGTGCCTTTTCCCCTGGCTAATTTTGCTTTGTATCTCTTTACTGTAATAAATCTTTGCTGTGAGTAGGACTATCGGCTGAGCCTCTTGAGCATCCTAGTGAGTTACTGAGCCTAGAAGTGGTCTTGGGAACCCCCAATATCGTAACAAAAGATTTACATTCAGATATCCTAAAATTCAATTACAATAATGGACATGAATAAGACAATACAATGAGGAAAAACATGGGCAAAGAAAATAGGCAATTCTTAAAAGAGCAAAATCGCATGGTCAATAAAACTAGCAAAAGATGTTCCATCGCAAAACAAGAACACATCGTTTTATCCTCATCAGAGGACGGCAGGATTTTAGAATCTGAAAATATAGAATGGTAGCGAGATTTGTTGAGAAACCACTTTGGAGAACAAACAGGCACCATCTAGTTAAGCTGAAGACTGTGTGTGTGTCCTGTGAGCCAGCACATTACATGAGCAAGACAGGTATGAAGAGTTACTTGCACAAGTTTATTATAGCACTGCTTGTAATCGTGGAACATTGGAAGTCACTTCAGTGTCCATCAAAAGAACAGCTAAGGGAATCATGGGATAGTCATTCATCAGAAAGTAATACCACAGTTCAAATAAACCAAATGGTCAGGCATGGTGGCTCACGCCTGTAATCCCAGCACTTTGGGAGGCCGAGGCGGGCGGATCATGAGGTCAGGAGACTGAGACCATCCTGGCTAACACGGTGAAACCCCGTCTCTACTAAAAATACCAAAAAATTAGCCGGGCGAGGTGGCGGGCACCTGTAGTCCCAGCTACTCGGGAGGCTGAGTCAGGAGAATGGCGTGAACCCGGGAGGCGGAGCTTGCAGTGAGCCGAGATCGCGTCACCGCACTCCAGCCTGGGTGACAGAGCGAAACTCCGTCTCAAAAAAACAAAACAAAACAAAAAAATCACCTTACTCCACCTGTGTTATGGACAGATGCCACATTACCTCCTCTGACACTGCTTCACTTGCCCCCCGCCTTACGCCTTACCCAGCTAAAGCGAAATCACTTTCTTTGTTCTTATTTCAAACCTCTCTCTAAAAAGGTAACCTGCAGGAGTTTCTCCAGAGATATACAATCTCCACAAAGGCTTCTTCAGTACACAAGACAACAGAACGTATTCAGTGCATTCACATCCCACTGACTGGTCTCCACTCGGAGGTACAGACTGATTTACACTTGATATTCTCGGTCCATCATTTACTGGCTATTTCCATAGGAGAAGATATGTCAGAGATATTGGAAAATATCTCAGATGGAAAAGAAGAAATAAACTCACAAATCAAGTTCAGTTTAAACTACTGTGGGGGATAATCATGCGTTCGCTTAAAGAGAGATTTTACGAGGAGGTTTAACCATAAAAGCGAGGAAGTGTTATCTGAACCTGCTGTGAAGAGCACATGAGCTCATTACGATTTAGTTCTTGGCAGCAACAACCTTCGCCACGGCAGAGCATGCAAAAGCAAGAGAGTGTCTGTGACCATGATTAATAATTAGTGGATTTGGTGAGTATTGTTCCCAAGTTCAGGAAATAGCCAGAGTTCAGTCTCTGGCCAAACCTACGTATCTTCACACAGCAAAAGCTGTTCTAGGACAGTTATGGAAGCAGAAGGCCACTCTGGAGGAATCGGAGAAGTCTAGAAGGGAAGTGTGCCTTCTCACAGGCAGGCAGAGGCATGCCAGGCGCCCTCAGTGATGCCGTGCTGAACGATGGCTCTCAGACCTCTGACGGCAGCTCCCTGCAAAAAGTCCTTCCACAGCCAAGACAGCGTTCCAGCTAATACTGCTGAAGTTCCCAAGTAGGTCACAGTATCTTTCTCAATGTGCTCTGTTATTTCGGGGTATAAAAATATACTACTGGCATTTGTATCACACCGAGGGAAAAAAAAAGCCATGCTTCTTAGCTGTAAGCCTCAGACTCACCCAGGCTGTTGAGCATAATGAAGCCATTTGGATGTGCATGGCCGTGATGGCACTGCTGGTGGTGTGACTAATAGAAGTAGTTTTCCCTCATCTTCCCTTATCACCCAGTGAGACTGAGGACTGGAACTAGGGCTAACGTGGGCTCTGGTGAGCTGAGGGCATCTGCTGCAACAGCTCCCTGCAGAGAAGTTCAGAAAGGTACACAGAGGAAAAGAAAAAACGGCCAGGATCGCTGCAGAATGTCACAATAAAATAGTGGTTGAGGCCAAGAGGCTCCCGTCTCTGTTCTCTCTTCTCCAAACAGACGTCTTAACTGTTCTGGGGCAAGGCCTGCCTTCTAGTTTAAGAGATGGCTGATATTTCGTCAACATGTCTTAATGATTTTCCTATGAAATTCAAAGTCTAGGTTCCAACCTTTAGGACCCTGCAAGTCCACTCTGCATCCCTCGGGCCTGCTTCCTCTTACTCCCATAAACAAGTTCGCTCCAGTGACAGCCCAGAGCTGCCAAGCTACCGTGCCCTGCTTCTCAGGCAGAATGTCGGCCTCTTCTCTTTGTTAGCATGTCCTACCTCAAACATTCACCAACTTTCTATTCCTCCAAGCAACTCAAATTTTAATTGTTTTTTTTTGGTTTGTTTTGTTTTGTTTTGAGATGCAGTTTCGCTCTGCTGCCCAGGCTGGAGTACACTGGCGGGATCTTGGCTCATTGTCACCTCCCCTGCCCAGGTTCAAGCAATTCTCCTGCCTCAGCCTCCCAAGTAGCTGGGATTATAGGTGCACACCACCACGCCCGGCTATTTTTTTTTTTTTTAGTAGAGACGAGGTTTCACCATGTTGGTCAGGCTAGTTTCGAACTCCTGACCTCAAGTGATCCATCCGCCTCAGCCTCCCAAAGTGCTGGGATTATAGGCATGAGCCACCATGCCTGGCCAAAATTTTAAACATTAAAAAAAAAAAAAAAAAAAAGGCTGGGCACGGTGGCTCAAGCCTGTAATCCCAGCACTTTGGGAGGCTGAGGCAGGCGGATCACGAGGTCAGGAGATCGAGACCATCCTGGCTAACACGGTGAAACCCCCGTCTCTACTAAAAATACAAAAAATTAGCCGGGTGTGGTGGTGGGCACCTGTAGTCCCAGCTACTCGGGAGGCTGAGGCAGGAGAATGGCGTGAACCCGGGAGGCGGAGCTTGCAGTGAGCTGAGATCCGGCCACTGCACTCCAGCCTGGGCGACAGAGCGAGACTCCGTCTCAAAAAAAAAAACAAAACAAAACAAAAAAAACTCCTAAGCAGCCACAGTGGCAGGCGCTGTTAAGAACACAGAAAAGTGAGTGATTTACACTCTTACCAGTTTGTCCAGATCTTTACTCTCCGGCCCCTCTGCACTTACAATCTACATCAGTGTCAATGTGGTCACATGCTGCTTTTTAAAGTTTGGGGGTGTGTGTGTATGTGTGTGTACATAAATAACACACTTTACGTGTACGTGTGTGTGTTCTGCCCTTACAAGCAACCTTTTCAGGGCCCATCTATATATATTATAATGTCTCCAAAGAACTCAGCACACAGCTCTGCAGACTATGGAATTCCTTTGTCTTCTAACCATAGAAAAGAGCCCACATTTTTGTCTTAGGACGACTTGAAATTCACGATATTTAACAACTTTGTGGCATGGGCATCAATCAGAATGGATTCCTCAGTGACGATGGGAATGTGGATTCCTCAATGACGATGGGAATGCTGGGTGTGTGGGTGTCCGTCTGTCTCCCTACTAGAATATAAACCAGCTGGAGTGCTGAACAGAGCCCTGGAGACCCACTGTGGGATCAGGTGTCAACCCTTTCACTGCTGATTTGTGGGGAGGTCGCAGAGATCCTAGAGGCAGGGTCTGGGTGGTGGGGAGACTGGGACTCAGCAGCAGTTCTTGACCAACATGTGTGGCAGTGTCTCAATATTTTAACAGGTGCTGAGTGGTGTGGCCCTCTGTATGTGTGCCAGCTAAATATTCACCTTGCTGTTGATGCTGTTGAAGATGAGGATGATGAAGACAACAGCATCGCTCATCCCCAGACAGATCAATGATTCTGAAGAGCAGAGCCTTGGCTCAGGCGGCATCTAAGTCACCTGGGTTAACACCTAAAAAGTGGAACTTTATGAAAGGGGTTATTTTCAAGAATGACATTTGAGGAGGCAAAAATTCCAAGGCTGTATTTTTAAGTCCTTTATTCGGCTGTAAATCTTAAGTCCACCCACAGTTGATCCAGAAAACCACACAAAGTTATTCTGCAAACCTTTCTTTTTTTTTTTTTTTCTTTTTTGAGGCAGAGTCTCACTCTGTCACCCAGGCTGGAGTATAATGGCATGATCTCGGCTCATGGCAACCTCTGCCTCCCAGGTTCAAGTGATTCTCCTGCCCCAGCCTCCTGAGTAGCTGGGATTACAGGCACCCGTAATCATGCCTGGCTAATTTTTTGTGTGTGTATTTTTGTAGAGATGGGGTTTCACCATGTTGGCCAGGCTGGTCCTGCACTGCTAACTTCAGGTGATCTGCCCACCTCGGCCTCCCGAAGTGCTGGGATTACAGGCATGAGCCACCACGCCCGGCCACTCTGCAAACCTTTCAAAGGTCTGCAGTCTGCACTGAGCCAGGTGTGTAAATAAAGCCCTACCCTCTGCTAAGAACCATCAACACGTGTTCCAGGAAACTGAAATCTGACCAGGCATCACCCCATTCAGAAAGGGCAACAGGAAGACCCGGCATTCTCAAACTCCCCACCTTGGGATTGAACCCAGGGGTGACAGCAGTCTGCACCACTGAGGGCTTTGATCATCAGTAGACCACCTGGTGGCTATCTCAGGGAGACAAACAGGCAGATGAGGCATCCGGGACAAAGGCCCGATCGCTCAGACAGACACCAGGCAAAGCCACGGACAGCTTGACATCTGCAGACCTTCGGACCTTCCATTCAGATCGCGTCTGCTAAACAGTCAACTGCCTCCATCAAGTTCTTTTTTATTCTGAGTCTTTCATCAGCCCACCACTGAGGCTCACAGGCCCCCTGCATGGAGCTCTACAGCTTTCAGAAGGAAAAGAAACCACGAACCTCAGGACTGCGGTGACTGGAAATTCTTGAGCGTTTAAAACATTTCATCCTCTTTTCACCCGAATTCACCCTTCTGACTTGTGATCTGGATAGTGACTGCCATCACGAGCAGTCATGATGGACTTCTCCGAACAAGGTGGAAGGGACTTAGAAGAACACAAAGAATCACTCACAGGAGTAACAGGAGGACTAAGAAGCATCCAAGTCCAAAGCTATTCTGTGTGTGTGTGTGTGTGTGTGTGTGTGTGTGTGTGTGTGTTCCTTCTCACAAACATTTTCAGATAGTTTGAAGTCGGGTTACAAAGAACACCTAAGATGACAATATGAAGAGAGAGAATAGAGAAGGCCAGTGTCATATGGGAAGTCAGGCGAGAGGAGGGGCGGGGGGAAGGGGAGGGGAGAAGGGAGGGGAGAAGGGGGAGGGGAGAGGGGAGGGGAGGGGGAGGCGACGGGAGGGGGAGGCGAGGGGAGGGGATAGGGGATGGGAGGGGAAGGGAGGGTGTCTTGCCATTTCATGAGTCTTTCTCTGTGTTCTATGACGTAAATGTCCCCCTCATTTTCTGGGCCTGGCTCCCTCTCGAACTCAACTAAGTACAATAAAATTGGTCTACAGCAAAAGTCTTTCCCAACTGCAGCTGAAGCTAGAGTGCCATTCCATAGTCACAGAACTTTAAAAGCAAAATATTCATCCTTTCATAGATTTTACCGACCCTATGGTAGTAGAACCGCATATCATGACAATATGCAAGACGTCATTCCGTATTTCTCAAGAAGAGACTCTGACATATCTTGGATTGTCTTTCAGAGTAATGGAACAAACGGGCTTTCAGAAGAACATACAGACTAATATTTAGAAGAAAACATAAAAGGAGGCCAGGTACAGTGGCTCACTCCTATAATCCCAGCACTTTGGGAGGCTAAGGTGGGAAGATTGCTTGAGGCCAGGAGTTCGAGATCAGCCTGGGTGACGTAGCAAGACCCAATCTCAATCAATCAATCAATCAATCAATCAATAAAAATTAGCCAGGCATGATGGCACATGCCTGTAGTCCCAGCTACTTAAGAGGCTGAGGCAGGATGACTGCTTGAGCCCAGGGGCTGGAGACTGCAGTGAGCCATGATCACACCACTGTATTCCAGCCTGGGCATCAGTGCACTGCAATCTCCACCTCCCAGATTCAAGCAATTCTCCTGCCTCAGCCTCCCAAGTAGCTGGGACTACAGGTGCGTGCCACCATGCCCAGCTAATTTTTTTTGTATTTTTAGTATAGATGGAGTTTGTATTTCTTAGATAAATCACTCAAAAAGCATAAGCAATACAGAAGAATGGGGGTAAATTTGGCTTTATTGAAGTTAAAACTTCTTTTTAAAAAGACTCTTTAAACACCGTGAAAATTCCAACCACAGACTGGGAGGAGAAACATGTCACACACATAACCAACAAAAGATCCTTTTATGTATATATATATAAAGAACCCATACCCTACATCAGTAAGGACAACACATGCATCGAACAGAAAAATGGGCAAAGGATGTGAACGTTCAGGTCATGGAAGGGGAAACGCAACGGGCACTGGCAAAGATATCGATCTCACCAGGAACCAGGGAGATGCTGGTTCAAACAATGAGCCAGCACTTCTCACCCATGTGACTGGCAAATATTTAAAGTTTGATAAAGACAAGTGTTGGCAAGGGAGAAACGGGATGGGCGTGTCCTACTGGAACAGCCACTTTGGAGAGCAATTTGATAACAAGTTGTAAAGTTGAAGACATGTACAACTTATGACTTGACGGTTTACCTCCTTCCTGCTCTGAATATACCACAGAGAACTTCCATGTAGGTGCAAAAGAATACATATGCAAGAATGCACACAGCAGCACTGTAGGTAACCGAGGGAAAAAACCGAAATGTCCATCCACAGGAGAAGTAAACAAACCACCTACGGCCAGGAGCTGTGACTCACACCTGTAATCCCAGCACTTTGGGAGGCTGAGGCGGGCAGATCACAAGGTCAGGAGTTTGAGACCAGCCTGACCAACATGGTGAAACCCCGTCTCTACTAAAAATACAAAAATTAGCCGGGCATGGTGGGTACATGCCTGTAATCCCAGCTACTCAGGAGGCTGAGGCAGGAGAATTGCTTGAACCCGGAAGACAGAGGTTGCAGTGAGCCGAGATCATGCCACTGCACTCCAGCCTGGGCGACAGAGCGAAACTCCATCTCAAAAAAAAAAAAAAAACATATGTATACAATGGAGCACTATGCAGCTGCTAATACTATGTATGTGTCAACTTGAATAAATTTCAAAAACATCATATTGAGTGAAAAGGAAAATTGCAGATGTCATGCACAATATATCATTTACATACAACTTTTTAATAGTCCAACACAATGTATGTGTTTCGATTTCTTAGGTAGAATATCTAGCTCAAATGAGGACACCATACATGGGCTAGTTAACCCAAGTATAGACATTACCCTTTCTAAGGAAAGAGACCAGGACGGGGAAGGGTACCCTGAGCACCTCAGCTAAATCTTTATTGTTTCCATCTCTTAAAATAAAATGGGATTTGAAGTACATATGGCATAGCAGTAAGATCTGGTAGTGATAATGCTGGACATTCAATATCTTCCCTATTCTTTTGGGCGAGGCATAGAGACAGGGTCTCACTATGTAGCCCAGGCTGGTCTCAAACTCCTGGCCTCAAGAGATCCTCCAGCCTTTGCCTCCCAAAGCACTGGGATTATGTTATTCTCTATTCTTATCTATGTGTCTGAAATATTTTAAAATAATGTGAGCTTTGAGATGCTATTTTAAAACTAACAGTCAGGCATTTTTCTCTTTTGTTTCCCAGGCAAAGACAGACATTCTAGGCAGAGGAAATGGTATGATGAAAAGCACAGAGGCTCTAGGAGATGTGAGAATTTCAAGGAATGACAATGCCTGCATCTTGAATGGCTGGAGATGAGGCCGGGTGAGTCAGGAATGAGCCTTGAAGGCGACCTGAGAAATGGGGACGGAGCTCATAGCACGGGCAAAGGGGAGCCACCAGAGCCGAGTCCCCAAAGCAAGCACCTTCCAGAGGCTGCGCCCAGTGCTACCGCTGCCGCTGTGAAGCACTGCCCACAGGAGGGAGCGGGCAGCCACTTGGGGCTACCATGGGCCCTGGGCGGGGCTGTGTCTGCCGCCATAGCAGCCGTACCCGTGGACCTCCAGCCGTCCACAGGATGACACAGGTGGACACAGGGTGAGTCACTGTCTCCTGAGGTCATTGGGCTGCAAGGAAAGGGCAGGTTTGGGCCAGCTTCTACGAAGGCCCTTGACTGTGACCTATAAGGGACCTGGGAGCCCTTCTACCACTTTGGGGGTCCTGGGATTTTACTGCTCCTGCTTCCTCACATGCTCTGAGCATAGCAGTGCCAGCTGGTGCCCAGCTCCAAGTTCCACCTCTTCTCCTACTTAGAACCAGACCACGGACAGCAGACCAACAGCCAGCAGGCTCTGGAGAAGCCGATCTAGCCGCCTCCCTCTGGCCAAACGAGGATCTAAAACCCACCGGCCGCTTTTCCTCTGTCGGGGCACCCTCTGGCTTCGTGGTCTTCCCCGGGCTCTGGTCATCCTGGTCATTCCACCTCCAGGCTCCCTGCTGATCTCTGGGAATGACACCCCTAAACCCTTCAGAGCGGCACTCAGGAAATACCGACATTCACTGGTCATGGGAAGAAACTCCTCATTGCCCATGATTTTCCTGACAGGTGTATTCCGAGCCAACGAACAGCTGCTTAATAAGGCTGGGCTATACTCTGTTTCCCAATCCCCAGGCCCTGTGAGACCCAAGGGTGGAAAAGGTGGAGATCCATGAGCCCTGGGCAGGGACTGTGGGGGCAGGAACGTTGGGCGGGGCCAGATCCTCTGTCTTTGAGCTCAGGGCACAGAGGAAGCAACTTTCTTTCCAGCTGGTTCTCCAAGTCACTTCAGGCTCTCTCCCAGGCCAGTTCTCACCTTCCTCCGGCCTCCCAAACCACCTGGTTCTCCAAGTCACTTCAGGCTCTCTCCCAGGCCAGTTCTCACCTTCCTCCGGCCTCCCGAACCACTTGGTTCTCCAAGTCACTTCAGGCTCTCTCCCAGGCCAGTTCTCACCTTCCTCCAGCCTCCCGAACCACCTGGCCCACAGCCTCCAGCCTCCCTCTGGCAGGTCCCTGTGGCCTCCCAGCTTCCTCCCACAGCAGCATCTCCTGCCTCTCCCAGCTTCTCTAAACGTATTGTTGCTTTTCGGATATGGCTATATCTCACTAAAACTTCCCTTGTTGTTCTCTGCTGTCTCCCCTCCAGCCCTAACAGAGCTTTTGGTAGAAATGTTAATATATCACGAGCCCCCTCCTACCTTTTAGAAATTTTCCCTAGAAGAAAAAAGATGAAATACAATGTCACAAGAGTCTGAGGGCAGTAGTATTTCTACACATCCTATACACACCCGTATGTCTGTACATGTATGTGTATATGCAGCTTCCTCTAAACAAACCAAAAATGCAGGACTTTAAAATTCTAGGACTTACGAAATGGAAAACGAATTCTACAAACCCAAAGTTACGATTTTCAGACATTTCCACACCGAGGTATGTACACTAAGGTGTAACTGATCAACCCAACTCTACAAATTACAGCAACTGTGCCCTGCCTTTTCCCTCCCCTAAGAAGAGAAAACTAAAGCGAGTGTGGCCATGGAAGCTGCGAAAGTGGACTCAGGAAGTCGTTAGGGACCAGAATAACCCCTAGGGATGCAGGAAGACCATGTGGTTTTCACCGGAAATGATTCTCTTTTTTTTTGAGACAAGAGTCTCTGTTGCCCAGGCTGGAATGCAGTGGCACAATCTTGACTCACTGCAGCCTCCACCTCCCAGGTTCAAGCAATTCTCATGCCTCAGCCTCCTTAGTAACTGGGACTACAGGTGGGCGCCACGACACTCGGCTAATTTTTATATTTTTAATAGAGTTTCTCCATGTTTCCCAGGCTGGTCTCGATCTCCTGACCTCAAGTGATCTGCCCGCCTCGGCCTCCCAAAGTGCTGGGATTACAGGCGTGAGTCACCACACCTGGCCGGAAAGTGACTCTTTATATAGTAAAATAAAAATACATTGTCAGGAAAGACAACTTTTGGAAGGAAAAACACTGAAACATTCAGAAAATCATTTTACTGGTCGGGACACCATGGTTCGTGCCTGTAATCCCAACATTCTGGGAGGCCAGATCACCTGAGGTCAGGAGTTCAAGACCAGCCTGCCCAGCATGATGAAAACCCATCTCTACTAACAATACAAAAAATTAGCCAGTTGTGGTAGCAGGCGCCTGTAATCCCATCTTCTATGGAGGGTGAAGCAGGAGAATTACTTGAACCTGGGAGGCGGAGGTTGCAGTGAGCTGAGATTGTGCCATTGCACTCCAGCCTGGGCAACACAGAGAGACTCTGTCTCAAAAAACAACAACAACAACAACAAAACCCAAACAAAAGAAAATCATTTTACTAACCATAATCCTAGTCAATGAATCAAAAATGTGTTCTTCATCTATTAATGGCATTTCCTTTAAGTTGTTGATAAAAATTGATGCAAAGAAAGAATCCACTTTCTAGTAAATCATTAAAATGTAGCTCTTCTGGAAAGTGAATCAGAGGGTCATTTTTATTGGCTCATGACCTTTTTTATTGGCCTCATGTCGATATCTGCTTCTTCGCCTTGTGCATCATCATCATTTTCTGAGGGACTGCAGCCTGATATCTGCACGGATGACAGAAGAACATGGAGGCATTCTCTAGAGGAGAATTAACTCCTGCCCATGTCCATCTTCCACTGAATGTCTTGGGCCTCCCATTACACAGGCCATTCTGAGAAGGGAAGTAAAATGAATGGGCTGGGAGAAGGACAGATGTGAGGCAGAAAATACAACTCTTGCAGTAGATGGCGGAAAACAAAATTAGACGTAAGAAACCACGTCTCCATATCAATGGCTCCTCAAAGTCAGGTCTACGGAGAGTTTGCTACCAAACTGAGAGTAAGCATTTAGAATTTTTTGCAGAAATATGTATAATTTTATATCAATTGGGTTTTTTGTTTTGTTTTGTTTTTTTGAGACAGTTTCGCTCTGTTGCCCAGGCTGGAGTGCAATGACGCCTTCTCAGTTCACTGCAACCTCCGCCTCCCGGGTTCAAGCAATTCTCCTGCCTCAGCCTCCCGAGTAGCTGGGATTACAGGCACCTACCACCACGTCCGGCTAATTTTTTGTATTTTTAGTAGAGACGGGGTTTCGCCATGTTGGGCAGGCTGGTCTCGAACTCCTGACCTCAAGTGATCCGCCCGCCTTGGCCTCCCAAAGTGCTGGGATTACAGGTGTGAGCCATCATGACCAGCCCAATTGTTCTTAGTAATAAAAAAAAATTCAGGACATTTTAATGTCTTTTGGGTTTGGAATTTTTTTCCATCTTTCTATTCATTTTTATTGTCTTTGATGGATATGTTGATCTGCAACACAATATATGGAAGGTTTAAAAACTGGTCCTTCATCACATACAGTTTGAGAAGCACTGCTCTACATGACTCTCCTATGTTAAAAAAGACCAGAGTTTTGTGATTCTCAAATGACTTTTTTTTTTTTTTTTTTTTTTTAGATGGAGTTTCACTCTGTCACCCAGGTTGGAGTGCAGTGGTACGATCTCGGCTCAGTGCAATCTCTGCCTCTTGGGTTCAAGTGATTCTTGTGCCTCAGCCTCCTGAGTAGTTGGGATTACAGGTGCCCGCCACCATGCCCAGCTAATTTTTGTATATTTTTAGTAGACAGGGTCTCACCATGTTGGTCAGTCTGGTCTTGAACTACTGACCTCAGATGATCTGCCTGCCTTGGCCTCCCAAAGTGCTGGGATTACAGGCATGAGCCCACATGCCTGGCCAAATAACAACATTTTTTTCTTTTTCTGAGGCAGGGTCCTGCTCTGTTGCCCAGGCTGGAGTGCAGTGTGTAATCATGGCTCACTGTAGCCTCGACACCCTGGGCTCAAGTGATCCTCCCATCTCAGCCTCCCAAGTAGCTGGGACTATAGGCATGTGTCACCATGCCTGGTTAATTTTTACTTATTTACTTAGTAGAGATGAGGTCTCACTATGTTGCCCAGGCTGGCTCTGAACAACCTTCACACCTCGGCCTCCCAAAGTGCTGGGATTACAGGTGTGGGCCACTGCACCCAGCTACAATATTCTTATTTGGACAAAAATTTGCAGACTCCCTGGATTAATCCAAACAAATGCAGTCCGTACAAAAGACAGTGTTGCCAGCAAAGAATGGAAGTAAATGTGTTTGTTTCCAAAAGGCTGGAAGTGGTAAAGTGGGAGGTCCTATAAAGGCTTTTTTGCCATGATGCTCGTCGACCCCTGGGGTCCCAGCTGCAGGATCATCCTCCACCAGGGTACCGTTTTGCTAAGCTAGGGAAGCAGGCCTTACCACGGCTGGGTGATCACAGGGACCATCACCCACCCAAGGCTTCCTAGGTACTGGAGGAACCCTTTCCCCTGTTACAAAAACTCCATCCAGATAGCTTCCAGGAGCCAACGGTGCCTTGAAATGGGTGGCAGGAGGGCAGACTAGCTAACAGAGACATAAGATTATGCCATATGTCCAGAGAGAAGGGAAGTTCAACATTCACATCTGCTCTACATCGTAGTCTAAAGATGGACTTTAGAGGTGCATGGTATAAGACAGAGTTGTAGGTACACCTGTCCAGCCCTCGTTTAGCAAAGGACACACCACCAGAGGCAATGGGCAGGAATGGGAGGAAGAAAGAAGGGAAGGAGAAGAAGAAAGAGGGAGCAGAGGAGGGAGGGAGAAAGGGAGACAACCAGTCAGCCAGTGTGTTGCTTAAGACACCACGATCTTCATTGCAGAGGAATTCTGCTGTTTTGTGAGCCTTAGAAGCATTTGTGATCACACGGACCAGAGACTGAGTCCCAGATCTGCCTTAAGTAATTTTAGACAAGTCACTTTACTTCTCTGTGCCTTATGTTTCCATCTGCAAAATGGAGATGTTGGGCTATGTGGTCTCATTCATTTATTCAAGCAACACATACTGATTAGGCACCTACTGCATGCCACCCATGGTGTTCTGCCCTGGGGGTAGGGCCGTGAGCAAATCCCAGCCCCCATGGGGCTCCCAGCCATGCACACTCAGTGTTCCTTTCCCCGAGCATTAGCATTCTTGGATTCTGCATCGTGTACTTTTATTTCTACACTCCATTGTTTTCAGGTTTAGACATTCTTACCAAAAATAAGAAAGGACAAGGAAAAATCAAGTTGCATGCATTATAAAATTTGCTTCAAGAAAATACAATATACCAAACTTCAAACTTATAAAACAAATTTAATTCATAACATTGCTAACATTATAGGTTTATAAGAAATTCACTTAAAGTTCCTTTAAATAATAAAAATCCTGCAGTTCACATATTAAGAATTATAATATTGATTGTCAGTTACGTCCCTGGCACTGTGTTAAGCCATTTTATATGCAATATCTTTTATTTTTCCCAATCAATCTATGATGGAGGCAACATTTATTCCCATTTTAGAGTTGAAGATGTTGAGGCTGAATGAGGTTAAAACTAACTTGCCGAAAGCCCCATGGCTGGTAAATGATAGAACCAAGACATGAACTTGGCACTTACATGCTTAACTTTCTTACCTGTATACACCTTGTTCATTAAAACACAAGTGATGCCAGAGGCTCACGTCTGTAATCCCAGCATTTTGGGAGGCCAAGGTGGGCAGACCACAAGGTCAGGAGTTCGAGACCAACCTGGCCAGCATGGTGAAACCCCGTTTCTACTAAAAATACAAAAATTAGCCAGGCATGGTGGCACATACCTGTAGTCCCAGCTACTTGGGAGGCTGAGGCAGGAGAATCACTTGAATCTGGGAGGTGGAGGTTGCAGTGAGCCAAGATCATGACACTGTACTCCAGCCTGGGTGACACAGTAAGAGTCTGTCTCAAAAAATAATAACAATAAGTGATGCAGTGTGTACAGGCAGCTTATAGTGGTGGGCTGTTTTGGGAAGGTGATAAGCACTCTTTAACTACTCAAAAACTTATCCAAATGACAAACCCAGTATTTCACTCTCATGTCTTAAAATTGTACACACGGTTCCGGCTTAGCACACTGACTATTTCAGGAGCTTTAGGCTTTACTCCAGTTTTCTGCGGACTTTTCCTTTCTATCTATATTTTGAACCCTTCTTCCCTTCCTCCCTCCCTCCTTTCCTTCCTTCTACATTCTGAACCCTTCCTTCCTCCCTTTCTCTCTCCCTCCATCTCTCTCTTTCTTTTCTTTTCTTTGTTTCCAGAGTCTCTGTCACCCAAGTTCGAGTGCAGTGGTGTGATCACAGCTCACTGCAACCTC